AGATCATGCATACATAACGACTTGTATATAGGAACACATCTCCAGAAAAAACAAACTTCTGTGTATTGTCACTGAAACATGACATTGGAGACATACAGGAGTTAGGCATGAGCTTACTCTTCCTTGGAAGGCACTATAGGATATTTGAGACAATGTGCTCATTGTGAACGCTGAACATCAGGACCGCTCTGTGATTTCATTATGAGCCATGAAGCACATGCTGCAATTCCTGTCCTGCTTCCTGCGGTAGAAGCATGGTATGCATTATCTGTGGTTTTCAGAATGTCATTAATTGCAGATTTGGTGGCTCACATGGCAGTAATAGGACAGCACTACCAAGGCTTCTGTGTTTACATCAGAGGTCGGCTCTCAGTTTGTTCTCCTCTGCTGCTGAGCTCGTTTCCTGCCTGTTTGCAGCTCTGGGCCCCTCTCCCATGCCTTAAGCCAGCATACCAGGTACACAGCTGCTGGCCTGCTCCTCCAGCCTCCTGCAGCTGCTCCAGCACCAGGGTCCCAGAGCAGGAAGGATGCTGCGGGCCTGTGGTGCTGTTTGTACTGTGCTTTTCCAGACACGTGTTGCTCTGCGTAAAGTTGCTACCTACACTTGGTCTCAAATGGCAACCAAATCCTTTTCACGGAGTCTTGAGGACTCTGCCTAGGGCTCTTGGTCTGGCAAGTGGCAGAGATGATGTCAAAGGGATTGAGTGAGGTCACTGACTATGGGGACCGTGCACACAGCAGGTGAGTGCCACCCTGGGTTAGGTGGTATGCCTGTGTCGTCCCTCCCGGCACCCAGCATATGGGCTCCCCTCTGTGCAGGGTGAAGGAATCTTAGAAGTTTGTGGTATTTGGCAATAGGGTTTGTGGTAAAAAAAGGAACCAGGGGGACTCCAGATTACCTCAAGCCGTATAAACATAGATGTTTATAGCATTTAAATCACTTGAAATAATAGCTAATTGTCCAAGCACGGTATGGGTAACAAGACAGAGAGCAAAGTTTTCCTGGGAAGAGTTTGTGCATGTTTTCCATTAGCAGTCAGACAAGGGCCAGGGCAGAGAAAAAGGCATGAGAACAGCCTTTCACCATGACCTCACTAACAAATTTCCCAGCTCTGAGCTCAGTTCTGTTGCATGACTGAACAAGTGGAGAAAACACAACTGGTTCCAGGATACTGTTTGCTTTACCGGTATCTTATTTTTATTTTATAGCAAATGGAATAAGGGCTCTTGGGTTGTAAAAGCCCCAGATGGAAATATAGGCTAGACACATATTTATGGTCTGTGGGCAGAGACAACAGCCTTGGGGCATGTTATAGCTGCTGTATGGTTGCTTCATATGTGGCCAGTGGGTCCCACGCACTCCAGATGCATCCAGCTTGTGGTGCATTTGTATCAGGGTTAATGAATGATGGGAGTGCTAGGCTCTGTGTGCAGAGTCAGCTGGCATGTGTGTGTCTGTTTGTTCAGGCATTTCCAGGGTCTGGAGATCCTACATCAGTCTCTGGCTTTTTTTTTTTTCCTCCTTTCTTTCTGCCTCATCAAATCTTCCAAACAGGAGAAAGAAGACAGGCAGGAGAGAAGCCCCCACAAAGTGAAGCAACTTGGGTGCGGTTCTGTGACCCTTCTCTACACAAATCCTGATTCCTGGGTGAGAAAGGAGCTTGAATGAGGCATCCTACCCTGCAGTCTCTTCCTTCTTCTGTGAAGTCTGGGGTTTCCTGAGGTGAAACCTTTGACAAGAGCGGTCTGAGGTATTCCCTGCTGCTCACCTAATTGTGCTGGCAAAGCAGAGAAGGCCTTGTGTTGTGGTGTGGGAGAGGAAATGAGTTGCAGGGGAGGGTGAGAGCACCTTAAACCAGTGTCGACACCACAAACTTTACCTTGCGAAACCAGGGTGTTCCTCATGCACGTATGTGCCGCGGTTGATGACAGCAGCCAGTTAGTGAGTGCTGAAAGGAGGGACTGGGACCTGCACTCCTCCTGGCTGCTTGGGCAGCCAGTGCCTCACTCTGGTTTGTATGGCTGTGGGATTGAGAGCAGTGTCTCGGGCCATGGGATCATTGGCTATGACTAACTGAAAACCGCAAAAGCATCTGTTAACTCTTTAAAACAGAGACTTGCAGAATTAAGATAAATGACAGCCTTACAAACTTTGTGACAACTGCAGAAGAAATTACAGGTTTCAACATATATATATAGCCAGGCAAGTGGTTTCTGTGTGTTTGGGCTGTAGATGTATGAAAAGGAAGGCTTTAGCCTGGCCAAACTGAATTCCCTACATGGGGAATTCATTTAAGGTCAGCAGCTTTATATCCCAAAGCTGTTCGTCTGCAATCATTAAGCACATATATAGGAAGCTGTCCAGGCAGATGTATCACTTACTCTCCTTCCTACGCTGTCTGCTTTTTGGTTTTGATATTACTAAAAACTTCAGTAAGAAGTGGTTTTTATCGTGTCAGATGTTACAAGTTGTCTGTGCCAGTTTCCAAGTTGGAATGTGGGTTTGCATGGCTGGTGTCATTCCAAGAACTGGAAGGAGGAAATATACCAGGGCTGGAAATTCCTGGTGAATGCAAGAAGCTGTGAAACCTCCCACGGGGTGATCTGTGACAGTGCAACAGGCTGACAGCCTTGTCTGACTTCTTGGTGAAGCATAAAAAGGCCATGTGGAGCTGCAGATGCTTTCCCTGATTACTAATGAGAGAAAGTCCTAACCGCTTGGCTGGTTTTCCTCACAGGATGAATGCTCAGGGTTGTTGGCAAGGTGGTTTTTTTGGTTTGGTTTGGTTTTTTTTCTTTTTCTCCCCCTCCCAATCCGAATATCTTCTTATTTGAAAGTATCCCTCTTCTTGGTAAAATGCTAATTTCAACAGTAAGTGCTTATCTGGGAAAGGGTCCAAGATCGAGGGCAGATTTGAGACAGAGCAGTTGAATGCCGAATCCCATGTGGGTCGATGATGAGATGTTCACCTGCAAGGTGGGAGGCACAGTCGGGTAGTCTCTGCTCTGACTATATCAGTATTTGTGCAGAGTGGATCATGACCAGCAGGTGAAGCGGAGGCACCCCACAGTAGCTGGCACCAGGGCGGCTGGCCCTGTTTTCTGTGATGTGGCCTACAGCAGGGCAGCAGCATGTTTCTAACATCCATAGGTGGATGTCTGAGCCATGGGGCCATTGGCAGCTTTTCTTTTTTCTGTTTTTTTTTAAAAAGGAAGATGAAACCACTTGTATTGAAAGGTTTGAACGTCATTCAGATGTGGGATGGGAACATATTTGTGGAGGGGCGAAGCAGATCCACTCAGGCCTGGTCACACCCAGTAGTTAGGAAGATGAAAGGTGCTGGTCTGCAATTCAGGTCTGTAATGTGAAGCACAACCCAGCTAATATGCAGTCTGTGGACCCATGCAGATGAATTTTTTCTCATTTACAGCCTTTCAGAGAATTTCCATGCAAAGCTACTCGACTGTAGTGTAACCATTCAAAGCAAAACACACACTTGCCTTCCTTATATGCCTGCAGGTATACATTGCTCTGCTATTAGAAGGGGCAGAGAGTTGTACTGGGGTGAAGTGATAGTGATGCTGAAAAAACAGGCAAAATGAAGAACTTGTTGAGCAATAGAAAGGCTTATACAAACAGGCTACTTTTGTGAGTCAACCATCAAGTAAACCCAGTTGCTTTGGAAACAATCTCTGTTTTATTTAGAGCTGTAACTGGAGGAGAGCTGACAGCTTCAAAGTCACACTTTTGTCTGGAAAGTTTGTATGGGATCACATCTCATTGGTAGCAAACAACATAGACTGATGCAAACTGAAACTGTGGATGTTCCCACACTGTGCATATTTATGGTTCTTCATGTACATTTGTCTTTTAAATAGGGAGATAGAGATGTACTTAGTTTAACACAATTTTAGTGTATTGAAGTGCTTTCTCACAGACTGCTTTGCAGATTTGCAGTTTTGATGGTTTTGATTTATTGGGTCTTTTCCTGCTCCAGCTTTTTGTTGGGTTTTTTTGTTTGTTTGTTTGGTGTGGCTTGTTAAATTTAATAATTTCTCTCAGGTATTTCATTTTCATGTGTGTGTCTTGCTCCTGGGAAAAGATGCACAAATGTAGAGGCTAAATGATGGTTGAGTTAGAAAAAGTATGTTGCAAATATCAGAAATAAAAGGGCTGCTAAAGGAATGTGAGATTTTGGGGTTTACTTCTCCTCATATTCCCTGTACATGAGAAACTTGTGCTATGTTTCTCTCAGTCTGCTAGAGGAAGGGGAAGTTACAGACGTCCTGTGGGTTATACATACAAAATACAGTATTACAGTTGAAGATCACCATACTGAGCAATTCAAAATTGCATTGTAATCCATCATTCTGGACACTGGACAGTAAAATTCCCATTTTAATTCTTTCAGCAGCACTGTGGTAATTCAGTGATTATATGAAAAAAAAAGAAATCCAAACAGTGGTCTTGCACTTGAAGAACATGATACTGAGAAATTTTCCTTGGGGCGCTCACTGGGGCTTACAGTCAGAGAAATACAAAACTGCCCTCAAAACCTTTTGTTTAGCTTGTGTTTATTATTTTCCTCTTATCTGTGGGTTGTATTTTTTTGTTTTCTTGGTTTTTCTTTTACTTTTTATTGACAGGAAGAAAAAGGATGAATAATGGTTCTTGGAAGCAGAAAACAGGCTGTTTGATTATCATTGCTGGGAATGCTGTGTAGCAAAACTGTGGGTGAGGGAGTAGGTGGTTCTACTTCTGCTTGTCTTGCAATTCCTAAATATGATCACAAGCAGCTGAGTTTGTGTCAGGCTTGCAACTCTGCTTGTAACTACACCCACCTCAGTTTGAGGTGCACTCTTTATCATCAGTTGGTTTAAAAGACATTTCTGGGAGGGATATTTGAGGTTATTCACATCTTGAGTGGCTGCTTTTGGCTGCTGAAATATGTGTAAGTGTGCTTTTGTCTATGCTTATGATCTATTTACCTTGTTTCTAGGGCTCATCACAATAAAAGAAGCCCATGATATAGAAGCCAGACTTAATGAAGTGGAAAAGCTTCTGAAGACTATTATAAACATGCCCTGGAAGGTGAGCAAGCCTAATTCCAATTTAGCCGAGCTTGACTCCTCCTTATGGTGATGTACACCCTCATGCAGATTAGAAAGTGGTGGGCTTTGCCAAACTCTGAAAGAAACAGCAATTTATTGAGTATCTTGGAGAAATGCTGAGGGTCAGAACTGTGTACGATGCCTCCAAGCTGTTGCTTGTAATAAGTCTTTCTGTCACACTACAAAGGGGTGGAGAGGGAGAAGGGGAATAAAGCAAACCACTGGTAAAAAATGATGTCTGTTTTTTTTCTCTCTCTTTTTAAGTATTCAAGGTCTGAAGTTGTCCTCACGTTCTTTGAGAGATCTCCTTTGGACCAAGTTCTGAAAAATGACAATGTCCATAAAATTCAGCCAAATTTTCAAAGTCCAGTTAAAATATCAGGTAAGAGTTGTTAGCTTCCTGCAGTTGACACAAGAATTACAGAATTAAAATTACTTTATTTGCTGTTCCCCTTATTCTTTCTCTATCAGCAATTCAAAAGATAGTTCTCAGTAGTCTGCTTTATGATATAGAACATATAATTAGCCTTGAGATACTATGCAACATGTTAACGTGATAGAGTGGCAGGTGAAATGGAGGCTGATGAATGCAAATAAGTGGATGTGAGGAAAATGCAGTCCTTACTGCATATTGTCACTTTTGATAGTGCTTTTACCACTTAAAAAGAAGATTTTTGAGGCTATTGATACAGTTCTATGAAAATGTAAGCTTAGTGCCAAGCGGTGAACAAAGCCAGCAGTGAGAATATTGGATATTATTAGGAAAGGAGGCAAAAACAGAGGAGAGGAGCACAACCTCGTCTTGAAAACACTGTGCACAATTTTGGTCTCTCCATCTCAGAAAGGATATAATAGAATTTAAAATTACCCAAATAAAGGACAAGGACTCAAGGTGTTGAACAGCTTCTCTAAGAAAGAGGTTAAATAAAGAAAAACACTTCACCTATGAGAAGAGGCGAGAGTGGGGGTGTGATGGAAATCTGGAGAGCTGTGAATAGAAGGAGGTCAGTATCCTGTACTTCTCTTCAAACAAGAGCTATAGGTTATCCAATATCGTTGACAGACAACAGGCTTTAAGCTAACAAAAGAAAGGTTATAATATTGTTTTGTTTTCATACAGAACATAGTTGATGAGTGCAACTCATTGTCATAGGATATGGTGGAACTGAAAGCATAAGTGACTTCAAAAAGGAATTAGACAAGCAAGTGGAGGAAAAGTACATTGAAACCTGTCACAGGTGGAGACATAGGAAGTTCCTAAACCACAGATTGCTAGTGGGGATTGTGGAGAGCAGTATTACTCTATCCTTGCCTATTCTTTTAACCTTTTCCCTCTTCATCTGCTACTGACCATTGTTAAAAGGTTTGTGAACTTCTGGTGTGCCTGGTTTTGTATTTCCATACTGAAACATTTTGTTTGCGCCTAATGTTGACTGCTGGTTTTGTGTCACAAGAAGAGCTTATTCAGAGAGCTAATTGAAGTGAAATACTGCACAGTCCTCCAAAATGCATAAACCATTTAGCAAGAAACTGATATCAGTTTTCTTTGGTGCTAATGATGTATCTGTTAATGGCCAGTCAGCTTGTCAACATGCTAAAGGTGTAAACAGTGTGCCTTCAAGGTTGTTCTTATACACAGGGTAAACTATTTGTAATTGATCCTTAGTTCTGGTTCTAAGTGAATTACTCCTCTGTTAAATACATATCTTTTTAATTAAATGGAAGATGGTTTAAAAGCCCATTAATAACTCTTTAGAAGAATAGTGTGTAACACAGAGACTCAGTGAGAAGCGTGATCTTGCCAGCCAGTTTGGTCTCGTGCCTTCTCGCTGAGCCACCCAAGCCCAGGCTTTGGGGCAGCTCAGGGATTGTAAAGAGCACCCCCAGGGACATACTGCAAAGTGGGGTGACGCAGGTCTGGCTTCCTGGGAGCAAGAAATGGGAGCCAACATGCTTATCTCGCTCCCCACTTGTGGCTAGGGAGGTTTGGATGATACCTTGAATTGATGTAGAAACCTCACATAAAATTCCTCATGTATATATTTTTCCAAAGGCTGACCATGGTTACTCTCTTTGCTCCTGAACGTCAGGTCATGTTCTCAGCACTGACCCTTGAGAGCATATTAATGGGTTTTGTCCGAAGTATGTTGCTACTCTGTGAGACCAGAGCTGCAAAGTGGGTCCTAGATCCTGCCCATTATGAAGTGAAGGAACACCAAACTGAATGCTATAAAAATGTTCCAGAGGGTGGCTGCTGTCAATAATATCTTGCTGTTTTTACAAACAGCAAATATCAAGAATAAATGTATTTGGAATTACATGGGTTAGAGGCTGAAGCATTTCTCTGGTTTGAGCTTTTTGCTGTTTGGAAGGGTTTCATATACCTCTTGGGAAGGCATGCACCCCCTCAGGGCACATGTACTCTGTGTGTGCATGACAGAATATGGCACATGGTGGGTACAACACAGAGAAGACATTCAAGATGAAGCTAAATTCAGAGCAAGGGTGCCTGTTGGATGGGCAGAGGCTAGCAGCAAAGGGAGCCCTCCTACAGCTCCTGTATGTAGAGGAGCTCTGGAAACCATGTTATCTGAATAATAACAGGTTTTGTCATACCTAATTAATTAGAGGAAAATTCTCCTACCCATGCAGCTATCCAAAAGCATCTTGTGTTTATTAGTTTTATCATTGGAGTGATTGCTGCAAAGAATGTAAGAATATAGGTGGAAGTTTGCTGTTAATTGGTATTTACCTCGTCTGTATGTTGCACACTGGAAATGGTTCAGTGTCTGGCAGCATCGTCAGTAGATGGCAGTAAATGATAATGTGTAAAGCAGTGAAATGCTGTAACTCTTAGGTCATGTCAAGGACACTAGGAAAACACTGGCATTTTGTTAATCATAGTGCAGCACCTTTCTACGTGGCTTGCACTCTTAGAAAAGCAGGCAAAAATATATTCTCTGAAAAAAACAAATTGTCCCCCACATGGTCCTTCTCACAGTGGTTGGTGATGGGAAAGAGAGAAGGGGCCACCCTCTTAGATGAAAGCTGAATTTGAATTTATGGTGTAAATCTTATTCTACAGTACAATGTTTGCTGAAGATAAGTAATGTGAAGTGTGATTCTGCTGGGACTCACTGTTTTTACAACCCCCAAACACATTCTGCTGAAGTGGGTTGCAGTAAAATACAGACTGAAAGTCAAAGATGACTCTCAAGAAAAATATGGAAGTGAGTTCTGACTTTACCTTAGGACCATGTAAATGTTAAAAAATTACCTTCTTTCTCCTATCTCATCTCCTGTTCATTACTTGAACTGTATATATAGCTGAAATTTGTTTGTGTGTTTTCTGCCTACCGTATTTTCTGCCACAGGCTAATTTCCTTTTGTTGTGCTCAGAATGAAAGGCTGTAACACAGGGCCATTGTACCTTGAGGCAGATCAAGAGTTATCCTACTTAAGTCAGTGCTGATTTTTTAAAAGATGTTTATTTGTTTTGTGATGTTTCTAGCTTAATCTAAGATTGTGTGGCCAAAAGAAATCCTTGTGATTTGCCTAATTTGACTTTCCGTACAGCACAGATGTGGATTAACTTCTCATTCACATCAAATACTATTCTAATTATAAATTCTCCCCATGGTAGTAAGTTGGTGGAATTAGGTGTAAATTTTAGATATTCTGTATTGGAAGCTTCTTAAACAGTGAGAAAAATAAGCAGGGTTAAGGACAGTGTAAAACATGGTATTGCTTTATATGACTTAAAATTGGTGGATGAATTAACTTGGAAAGCCACTTTTTATTTCCCTTTTTCTGTCTTTTTATTTTTCCTTTACTGGCTTAAGCCTGGGACTGACAAGGAAAAATACAATTGTGTTTTGGTAGTGGCTAGTTGTTTCAGATGCTCTGTGTCATGAATTGATGAGGTGAATAAAGTTGCTTGAGCACTGGCAGTTTGCAGATGTAAGAAGCTAACCAACTCTTCATTCCTGCTTTCATGTGCAGATTTTCAGTGTCATGCACACGTCTCAGTTCATAGCCATGTCAATTGCATACGAGTTGTTTTTCAGCTTTTTTTTTTCATGTTGTTTTCTTTCTTCTCCCAACAGAAATCATGCGATCAAATGGATTTTGTTTAGCCAACACTGAAACAATAGTCATTGACCACAGTATACCTAATGGAAAAGAGAAGCACCTGGATGTAGATTCAGCAGAACATTTGTAAGTGGGGTTTGAGCATGACCAATGCCGTCACCTTCGGGTAAACTGTAGCTTTCCCTACCCCCTAGCAAAATGTTATTGTCTGTCTAAGAGCAAGACTGGTACAGCTGTCATTCTGACTGGCTAAAGATTACTGAGCCTGATTGCTAACACTTCACAGCAATTTCTTGTTAAAAGGGATAAAATGGTAGAATGATTGATGCCAAGGAACTCAATCCTCTGTATGAAAAAAGAACTGTGGTTGTCATAGGGATCCTGCCAGGTGAGAATAGAGTTTTTTCTTTCTCTCATGACTGTGATGAGAGCTTCTTTGAGCCCAAATCTGGAAACACAAACATCCTTACAAAGGGCATATCCTACTACAAAGGGTAGTAGGATGTTTGGGATGCAAAACACCATCCTCAGAGGGGAAGACACTGCTGAACGTAATTGAACAAAGGTCAGCTGGGACTTGGTGGAGCATGTGTATTTCATTAGGGAAAAGGGAATTTAGACAAGTTTTATTGGTAAATTCTGCTCCTAATGCATGGAGATATTCTGGGGTCAGAGACCTGTAGCCAGTAGGGCTTTTATGGCCATAAATCAAAGCACAAGAAGTTCAACCTCAACATGAAGAAGAACTTACTTACATTGAGGAGAGCAGAGCACTGGAACAAGCTGCCTAGGGAGGTCGAGGATTCTCCCTCTCTGGAGACATTCCAAACCCACCTAGACGCATTCCTGTGTCACCTGCTCTCGGTGACCTCACCTTGGTAGAGGGGTTGACCTGGATGATCTCCAGAGGTACCTGCCAACCCTAACGATTCTCTGATTCATGTAGGTCTTAAGTCAGTGACTTAATGGGTATTGATGGGAATCTGCACAGATTTCTGTCACAGCAGGTGATCGATGTTTTAAATGAACTTCAGATAGTGAAGCTTTTAAATATTTTTGATGAGAAACATTACCTGCTTTTTCATTAGACCAGTCAAAATGATGGAAACAGAATACTAAAAGCCTTATGGATCCTTTATCTTTGAAAGCAGTGATCTGTCTTGCCACATTTGAAATGTGGTAATTGACAGTCTGTGGCAAGGTTTAGAGCTTGACAAGATTTTTTCAGAAGCTGGAGTGTATCTCTGGCTACAGTGTCACTTCTTGAAGTCTTTTTATTAACTTATCACTTAGTGTTTTGAACCTTGACCTTGCTAACAGCATTTAAGCTTATAAGCTTGTATTAATGAGGCTGAAATGGCACACTAGAGGTAATTGTGTAAGGCCATTGTCTGGAAATTAAATTTGATATACTTCTCAGTGGATCACTCTTTTATACTGAGTGACAAATAATAATAGCAAATTACCAAAGGAAGCCTTTTCCTTCCTTATTTTGATTATTTAAAAAATTTTGATTAAAAGATGCTTATAAACTAGTTTTGATTTGAAAAATGTGCTGCAGCCCAAGCAAAACTTGCTGACCTGAGATCAGAAACTGCCGTCATCTAACTGTCATCCCATTGAAGTCAGAGACTATCAAGGCCAGAAAATACTAATATGATAAAAACTATGTTATGGGCATGGTTTCCCAGAAACTGTGGTGGAAGCAATAAATCTAGGGTAACAGCCTGACTTTGTGCATTTGTGCACTTCCTGAAAGATGTGAAGTCAAAGTCAAGAAGTTAGTAAATTTCAAATGTGTGTTTTATATGGTGGCCAAAATTTTCCCATTCTGTAGCTGTATTTTATAGCCAAGAGGTAGTAGCAAGGAGATAATGGCACCAGTGTAGCACAGCTGTTTTGTAAAAAATTGAACTTTTTTTTTTTTGAAAGCAGAAATTTTCTATCGTAATAGGACAAGGCAGAGTGGCCTTAAGCTGAAGGAGGGTAGGTTTAGATTAGATATGAGGAAGAAATTCTTTACTATAAGGGTGGTGAGGCACTGGAACAGTTTGCCCAGCTTGTGGACTCCCCATCCCTGGAGGCATTCAGGACCAGACTGGATGAGGCTCTGTGTAACCTGGTCTAGTGGAAGGTATTCCTGCCCATGGCAGGCAGCTTTCCAGGCATTCTTCCTCTAATGCATTAACAGAGGTTAAAATGGTAAAGAAATGTGTCTTACAGCACAAGAAGTAGGCTCTTGCAAAAGGCAGTGTGTGTGTCAAGGTACTTTGTGGAAAAAATAGCAAAGGCAGCAGTTTGGGCATTTAGGAATCTGCAGGTCCATAGTAGCTTGCAGAGTTTATTTTGAGGAAAAGACCTGTTGGTAACAGCACAAAAGTATTTTGACTGTTGAGTGCCCTGTAAACGGCTAACTGTAGTAAACAGTCCTGGTTCACTGGGTTTGGTTTTGTATGAGCACTCTAGAGTGGTGCTTTGCAGACTTCTGTGCACACACTTCCTTTTTGGTGGCAAGGAAAGCTTTCTGCTTAACCACAGCATCTGAATGCCACTGCTTTGTACCTCACATTCTGGTTGTAGTAACCTATCAGTGATTCTGAAGAACCACAAAATCTGTGGGACCTTTCAGTTGTAATAATCTAGTTTTATACTATTGACAAGAGAAAGAGAGCAGAATCTGAGAGACTTTCTTGACTCCTCTTACGCTTTCTTAATTCTGTCTGCCCTACTGGTATTTCATAATCTGTTGTTTCTGGATCACTAGCAGTGCATAGGATAGTACGTGATCTGTGAAGTATTTGCAAGATACCAAGTCAACTCCCTTCTGCACATGTTCCCACACATGCAGGGAAGCAAATAGCCTGGAGGGAATGGAGGAATGAGGGTAATAAACATTCAAAGTTCAGTCTCATTTCTGTTTCATTTAAAGCAAAGAGCATAGCAACAGCACTGCAGGAGAAAATCTACAAATTTCTGCTCAAAAAAATGTTGTGGTTCTCATAGTTAAAAAAAAGAGATGAGAAGGACCAGTCAGGAGTAAGGAAAAGACAGAACTATGGCCATACATTGCAGGATGTGTAGACCAGGCTATCCAACAACTTATGATGCTTCTAAATAAAGTTTCAGGAAGAGATGGGAGTGGGAGATTTATCTGTTTATTTATCCTACCACTCTTCTTCAGGTCCTCTGAAATACCTGACTCTTAGGTCACCCTCTAGGGTGAGTTTGCTTCGCTTGCTTAAGCAACTCTTAGGTAAGAGTCTAACTAGTTTGTGTGCTAGTGAGATGCAGTTTTAAACATTAATTCTTTTAAAGCTCATCTGTTTATCTGCCATTCAGAGAGTTGAAGTAGACAAGCCTAAAAAGGTGTTAAAACACATGCTATAGTCAGAGCTAGGTTAGGATTTCTTTTTCCATCTTGTGCAATTTTTCAGTTTCTATTTTATTTTATTTCTCACTCTATCAGAGTGAATGAAAGTTCTTTCAAAATATTAAAGAGAGTGTGAGAAAAAGAAGCTTGACAGTTCTTCAAATCCCTTTCTAAAACTGAGATGAAATTTAATCCTTGGTCTGCAGTGACTGTTTTTAACTGCTAGGCTATCGAGGAAGAAGATAATGTTTCTTATTGCAGGAATTCAAGCCTCGTTGGAATGGAAATGTGTATAATTGAGGAAGGTGTAGGTTTTAGCAAGTTGATGCCTTCTGGTTGAGAGTAGGTGTGAGACAGTGGGTAATCCTTGCAAAAGTTCAGGCTATAACACAGGATTTGGGAAGTGGGAAGGAAAATACCCAAACAAGTAAAACTAAATTTGAAATCTCTTTATATTTGGGATTTCTCTGCTTGCCAAAATTTAAATTTTGTACCACAGGGAGGACAGCAAGGCTCTGGAGAAAGGACACTGTAGTCATACCTTCCTACTCACGTTAGACATTTGACCTCTTACAAAAGCCAAACCCAAAGAAGGTACCTGTGAAGTGAAAGGGTGAGAGTCTAAATTTAGATGGGAAACAAAGGCAGTTCCCTTTCCACTTTTGCGTAAGAACTGAGACATTTTGTGTTATTGCGACATGCTGGGGGAAAAAAATAGAAGAATGTGGACTTCAGCTGCATGATTCACTCTTCCAAGGCTCACTTGCTGCTTCTTTCCTTTCTTCCTCACTAGTAGCTTTGAAAGTCAGGGATAACAAGATTATTTACTTGCATGTACCATGGTACTCATTGGCCTATGGTTTACTCTTATACACATGGGTGTAAGAGGGAGGAGGAGGAGGTGTGGATGGAATCGGCTCCAAGTACTTCTCCCTCTCCCTTAGTAGTGTTCTTCCAATTCCTTTGACTTTGATTTTCTAAATGAACATTAATGACTGAATGCCTTTTGGCGTTTGTTCTTCTTTCATTTCTCCTTAGGTTCGAAAGTGTTAGTGACTTTACCTCAGAGCTAGAAGACAGTGATGACCCAACAGCTTATGTCACCAATTTGACATACTACCACCTGGTTCCATTTGAGACTGACATTCTGGACTGAGACTGCTCAAGGATGCAGTCAGCCAGCATCCAGCCAACCTCTTCATCTATAGGCTCTGCTATCTCTGGCATTGCAACTCTGTGAATAAGGCTGTGCAGACAAGACCAACAGCAGAGAAGCTGCAGCAAGTACGCCACAAAGCTGATTTTGTAGTGTGGTCCTCTGTTGTGTGTTATGGAGACATCTTGTAAGGAGGTAACTGCTTTGCTGTTGACAACAAACTTGTTTTCTGTGAAAGCAAAGCAGCAGAGGCCTCTTGGGGCTCGAGGAAATCTCTACCATGTCTGTGGGAACTGCCACTCTGATGCAGCCATCAGAAACTTGTGCTGTAGTACGCTGTCAGCCATGGTCCTTGGCTTGCAGTGCAATTTGAGGCTTCCTCTTTTAGGATACCAGCAGAAACTTCCCCAGATGGCGTGACCACGCTTTTTATGATGTGTAAGCAAGAAGACAAGCAAACCAGCTGAACTTTGTCAGTTCCCTCTGCGTTTGCTTAATGGAGGTCTTGTGGGTCACTTCTTGCTCAGCTACTGGATGATTGGTGCCTTACACAAGATGTCAGAAATACCATTGAGTGCCTCCAGGAAACAGAACACATGAGCTGATGGCTTTACTTCTTTTAATCATGGGCTTTTATATAATCGCTGGAAGGGTGACTGCTCTTTCCTGGAATAGTAAAGCAGGCAGCAGCTGGCATTGCAATGGACTGTGCATGATGTTTGGGTACCCATACAATTTCAGAACTCTGGAAGGCTGATGGGAAAGCTGAGCTGCTCTGCTAAAAAGGGTCAAGGCTATGGCAGGCACTTTGATACAATTTTTTTTTTTTTATGTGGACCAGCATATGTGAATGGTGCTTACAGTTGTTTACATCAGAGAGATAATTCCCTATGCATATTTCTTCCCAGGGTTGGGAAGGAAGACAATAAGATTTATGTTGTATTTGGACTAAAAAGACTGATAAGCTGTAGTGTGTCTACAGTGGTAGGAAAAACACTTTCTCCACTGCCAACCAGTCTCAAGGAGTCTGTCTAGCTTTCCAAGATCTGCCTGGAGGGGTCGTGTAATGCCATGGATTTCAGCAGAGATAGGACAGTGGGAGCAAGAGTGGGATTGGACTCTGCAGCCTCTTGACTAGTATGACATAAAAGTCTCCTCAGAGTCTTTCTCTAGCAGAGCACTCTGAAGTCCTTGCTCTCACTATGAGTGCTCAACACTTGCCAACATGACCTTTCATTGAGCTTTTTGCGAACTGTTTGCAAATCTGAATTCGAAGGGATTGAAATGGGAAGGGATGCATTTTGGATGGGTTTCTTGGAAAAGAGGCTTGCTTGGTCCCAAAAAGCTGATACAACTCCCTTCTGCAGACTTTTCATTTCTATCTATAGAATAACAGTCAAACAGAATTTGTTAATGTAAATAATAAATTATTGAGGATCCTAATTCTTTTACACAGTATGTTTTTAAAATATATTTTAATGAAATAAAATAAAATAAAACTCACCTTCAGTACACTTCTACTGCTTAAAACAGTGGCTTCACTTTTTTTTTTCTTTTCATTTGAGAGCACTTTCCCAGACATGTCTAATCCTCTTTCTTTTTCTTGTAGTTTTCGAAACATGATGAGTTTTAGCAATTTCTGTTCTCCCTGTGCTACTTATACTGTAGACGTGGTGTGTATCCATATGGAACCTCTCTGCCTAGCTGTTGATCTTGTGTCTAGGTGTGTGTGGTTTAATGCCACTTGGTTTAGTGGAGGAATTCTGCATTTTCAAGACCATCAGTGAAATCAAACCTGGCAATTTTTTTTTTTGAAAATAAAGCAGATTGTAAAGGTAAATTGTAAAGGTAAATTTCTAGAATAGAGATATGTTATCACTCATGCAAAGGCTTTCTGAACACCTCACATGGTGACCTGCGCCATGGGCAGGTGTAGGAAACCCAGGGGCCAATAGGGACAACCAGACCTGCGGGTACCCTTGGGGCCCAGATGCTGAATGCTCAGGATTTTTGCTCTGCGTGTTTTGGAATTTTTTTTTTTTAGATTATTTTTGCCATGTACCCTTATATTCTGGGGACCTGAAATATGGTGCAGAATGCAGCACTTGCTGTGTTATTGCATCCAAAAAAACACAAACAAACAAACAAACATCTGTCTCTCATCCTTTAAGAAAAATGTAGCTGAAATAAAATTTTATCCCCAAGCTCCTCTCCACAATGCAAAGATACTTCCTATGTAAGAGCTGTGTTGCTAAAAAGCTGGTCTGTATTGTCTCTGCAGCTTTGGCTGCTCCCTTTGGAACGCTGCATGAGGATCACGTGTACCAGTCCTGGCTATTAGCTTCATGAGCAGAACAGAGTTGAAGTATGCTGGTATCTAGTGAAGGAGCAGGAGGTATGTGTCTCTTGGCGGGAACAGTGATGACAAAATCATTCATTTTTTATTTTTCGAGTCATGAAATATGCTGGCATTGTAATGTTGCCAAGTCTTATAAGAGTTAGGGAAGAGAAAGTGTATCACACTATGCTATGTTTTGTCCACTAGTCTGTTATTTTTTTGTTACATCAAATACTTTTTAAAAGCTCAGTCTTGGATTCCAAGGCCATTCTTTATAACAGCAATAATCTATGGCTCAGCAACAAACTAAAAAAAAAGGAAAAAAAAAAGAACATTTTCTAATGGCTTACTATACCAATATCTGTTCCTGTTCCAGTCAACTATCTCTGAACTCCCTTTCCCACACATACACAAATTTTCAGGCTATTTTACCTATCATCTTTCATCAATGTAATTGCTTTCTTATGGAAATGTTCACACTCTGAAGTGCAGTTCCCAAGTTTTATAGCACACAGAGCATTCCCATTTTCAGTGCTGTCCGGTAATTTTTTCTAGCTCTAAAACCATTCTCATTTTAATTAACTTTGTTAGTAATACATACTTTGGGGGATTCAGGTAAGGGCAAAATACCAAGGTAATATATCTAGATTCAACAAACGGAGAATTTGCATTTACCTAAAAGTCCATAGCAGTAGTGAAGATGTGGAAATTGCTGGGATGCATTTACTATTGAACTGTATGAATTCGAACTTTCTGGGCTTTCCCAATCGCTGTTATCATCTCTATATTTCTTGCAATGGATGTATATAACCCCACTGTGCCCTGTTGAAAGAAAGAACAACTTGAACTTTGGCGTCACAGAACACGAGATGGGACTCCAAGAGATGGCTGAGACAGAATTTTTCAGGGATTAGTTTTTGTCTTGGCAGGACATCTAGCAGGCAGATGCCTTGCACCGTAGGACAGGAGTTGCTACAGACTTGGTTGTTGTTCTTCACTTTAAAGGCTGCTGCTAGGGGAACCTGCCCAGGTAAGTATTTAGAGAAAAGCTCCCTCTTCTCTAAAGATACGTTGTCTAACTCTCCAGAGTAGTAACATTAATTTTCTGTTGTCTTGTGAGGCTACCTACATGTCTGAACTGGAGATCTGGCTGGTATGAGATTGTCTCTCAGCTGCACAAGGGCCCACTATCTCCAGAAAGTACTGGATTAGACCCCAGCCCTAGCCTGGGCTGCAGAGATGCCTTCAACACCCATCTTCTAGTCCTCAAATTCTGTTAAACAATTTTTAGAAACTTTTAGATAGAAATGACAGCTTATACTGGCAAGGAGAAAATCCAAATGTGAACACTGAATGTTGATTAAAAGCATCCTAGCATCAGCTCTGTGTGTGGTTTTTTCAAGTGAACTTCAAAAAATAAAAGTTATTAACTAAAATCGTTTACAGCATATGTTGGTGCTCCATGTAAAACCTTGCATGTCCCTCTCCTACAGCTGTTTCTGACACAACCTGGCAAAAACAAATATTTGGCGGCAGTTGCAATGTGTGTGTTTATAGGGCTCTGTGAACCACTGAGACTCCTTTGGCTGCCCTGGCATCTCACAGGAGGCTCTCACCTCCTTGGAGGTGCTTGGTCCTCTCTACAAATCTCTTTGCAGTAACCTTAAAATGCCTCCAGTGTTCCGGGGGGCTCCAAGCAACTTTAATAATTTCCATTAGTAAGCTGCTTCATTTAGCATTGTAGTTTAGTTTGGAAACCATCTGCAAGTAATATTGTTTCACCATATCACCTTGTACAGGGCAGGCTGGAAATAGAAATAATTACATATACCAGAAGCCAACTTTGTTATGTAAAATGAAAAAACAAAAACATCAGCACCACCACCAGTGAAACAACCATTGTCCCTTTTTTTCCCTTGTAGCCATTAAAATTAAGTTGAACAGATTCCATGACTTTTGAATGAACATGCACTCATTTAAAAAAAGAAATTTCCTGAATTTTGCCAAGTTTCCTTTTGTCTCATGAGAGCTGGCTTCAGCAGTTTAGCACAGTGACACATGCTGCATCCAACCATCTCGAAGTGACCTTCAGATAGAAAAACAACCAGTGGGTGTATGTGGAAGGAGGAGTCAGAAAGCGCTGGGATCACTTGGAAGGAGAGGGACTGAGAAATAAGGGAAGGATTGCAATGCAAACAGAGGAGATCTCCAGGAATAGTTTCAGTTTTAAAGCTACAATAATTCGTCTTTGTCAGAGTGGAGCTGGGCTTGTGTGCTTGTGTATTGGCAGTGTCCAGGTATTGAATCATGCAGTTCCTCACCCACCATTCTGCAAGGAACAGTATTAGCCCTGACTGGTTTTGTTGAAAGGAGGAGATGTCTGTGGCTGATCAGGTGCCTTTGCATAAGGTGAACGTGCTGAGCTTTTTGGAAACAGACATTTTGCAACAACAAAATTTATTATGATTGCTTCCTTAAAGCGCCACTCAGATCACGTAGAGGGTTTAGTAATTCTGTTTCAATTAGTTCCCCATGCACCTTATAGTGTATACTTCATGTCCATATGTGTAGGATTAAATATGCCGGTGGCTGCAGGTGAAGGTGCTCACGGCTTAGGTTGTCTTGACCACCCACCGCCCCTGGGACCTCACCCACACCCTCTCACCAGTGGCTCTGCTTCAGGTCAGCCCAGGGCCTTTAGCATTCCTAAGATGGACTACAAGAGTAGTTGACCCTAGACCTGCTCCTGAATTGTTGTGGAGATTTCCTGGGCTGCCCTCTGTCATGATGAATGTGGTGCCTGATGCTCTCTGGGTGACTGTTGGGAGGTACTATTTGGAGGTGGTGGTGTCACCACCCTGCTTTGTTCGCAGTGAGTTCCTCTGTGTGATAAACCTCATCTTTACAGGCACTCCTGATATAAGCATGATTTTTCCTTTTATAGGGACTCAATTCCCAGAGATGTCTACAGAGACTGCATGTGTGGGAACATACTCTTTGTACAGCATGTGAGTTAGTAGTATAGTTAGCTTGTTCCGGAGAGTATGGTTGCTTGATGACTCAGCTGCCAGAAAACACTGATGTGACATTGATATTTATGATAAATGTTGCCCTGGTTTTTAGAATAAAATGACAACATCTGTTCACATGTAGCTTTTACAGGTTTTGATGACTGGGAGATTTGCTTGTGTTCCTTTCTGATTCCAGCCTGGATTGGTAGAAAATTTATCAATGGGTAGTTCACTTGAAACAGCTTATTGGCATCCTCTCTCTGTAGACTTAGTAAATATCTAATCCAGCAAACAAGCTGACATTATAGTAATCACAAATTTGAACCCTTATTGGCATTATAACCTGTGGCTCCAGGTAGTAAATACGATCATTGCTGGAGAGAGAGTGGAGGTGTTCCCTGGCAGGAGGTCCATAAAGGTCAGGGCTTTGATAGGTGGGACAACACTATGGAGCCCGCACAATCACTGGTGCTGGTCATGATGAACGTGCAAGCAATACATTTCTCAGAAAGAACAATTTCGATCTCCCTTCTACTTAATAACTACCGAGGTGCAGATGGGAAAATATCAAAAT